GGCGCCTGGGTGGCTCAGTTGGTTAAGCGACTGCCTTCGGCTCAGGTCATGATTCTGGATTCCCGGGATCGAGTCCCGCATCGGGCTCCCTGCTCAGCGGGGAGTCTGCTTCTCCCTCTGACCCTCCCCCTTCTCTGTCTCCCATTCTCTCTCTCAGATAAATAAATAAAATCTTTAAAAAAAAAAAAAAGAAAAACAGACTGAAACTTGTAACTAGTTATCTCTGAAAAGTGGAATATCAGGTTGGAAGAGTTGGAGGGATAATTTTTACTCCTTAGTTTCCATGCCTCTGTATTATTTGAATTTGTTACAGTAAGACTACACTGCTATTGTCAACTCTTGTAATTAACCCTAAGGAGATGTTAATTTAAGACATTATTTGGTTAATATATCCAGTGGAGGGCTATGATCACAGCCATAAAGTCAAAATGAGGCACACTTAAGCAAATATTACACATCACCGGTTTTCTATCCATTCACCCAGAGATTAGTTTCTCCCAAAGGGATGCAACCCAAATGAAATGTTCCCAAGAACAAAATTTGGAAAATCATTCATATGCCAGTTTTTAGAGAGTATGTGATAATATCTGTTGATTTGAATTGTAAACCAGTTACTTCCACATCTCAAAAACCATTATGTATGATTTGGCATGAATTTCCACAGAATTAGTGTTTTGAAAGTAGAAAGACTATGTCTGATCTGACCTGTGCTGCAGAATTAAGGTCTAGAGCAAGGCAGCTACATGAGAGCCAAGAAAGCAGAGAACTTGCACTTGAAGCACTTGCCACTGACAGTCATCAAACAACTGTTGGAAGCACAGTAATCTGACAATATTTATTTACCAATAACTTTGATAGAACATAACTGCTTAATAAGGAAACTTCAAGACCACATTCAGCTTCTTCTCCAGAAACAAACCCTTGAATTCTAAGGTTACTATGAAGACAGCTACACCTAAGTGCATTCTTGAAGATGAAATTCTGGCCTGGATAGTGTCTTCAGTTCTCCTCCTCACCGTGTTCCAATTGTCTTTAATGCTCCCCCTAACTGGGGTGCCGGGGTGTCTCAGTCAGTTAAGCTTCTCACTTTGGCTCAGATCATGATCTTGGGGTCCTGGGATCGAGCCCTGCATCAGGCTCCACACTCTGTGGGGAGTCTGCTTCCTCCTCTGCCTCTCCTTCTGCCCCTCTCTCCACTCGTGCCCACTCTCTCTCTCTCTCTGTCTCTCTCAAACAAATAAATAAAAATCTTTCAAAAAAATACTCCCCCTAACTGATCAGTTCCCTCACATTGCTCTTCAGTAGTTGTTGTGATGATGCTTGACTTTGACTTTTTTAATGAGAAAATAGAGCTCATTATTATGGACACTGCATGTGCCTGGCTAGCTCAGTCGGTAGAGCATGAGACTCTTATTATGGACACTGCATCTTCTGTTAGTTTTTCCTTTTCTCTCCCCCAATGCCTGCACTTAGAACCATCTCTCAACGTTGGATAAATGCACCTAGAAAGTATGAGAAACCTAGACACCAGTCAGATATGGTTAAAAACGGCTAACGAAGTGTGTGTGCTCATTCCTGACTCATTAATTAATGCAAGGTTTTGCATGCCCTGCACAGGGCTAGACTTCTAAAGGGAAAGTAAAGGTGTCTTCCTTCGAGGAGTTCACAGCCTAATGAGTAGCGAAGCATATCAACAAATAATTTCAATACAATGTGATCAGTGCCATACTTGAGATAGATGTTGTTTGGGTTCTATGGAAACAGAGAACACAGTGATTCTCATGCTTACATATTGGTTCTATGGGTGGGAAGGAGGTTGAAACAGAGATGCTGAGAGTGATGCAATTAAGATGGTGTTTGAGATAGGTCTCGAATGGTCCATAGTTGTTTACTGTATGGCAAAAGGAAGCAAAAACATTCTTGGCATAGAAAACAGCATGTTCAAAGGTGTGGAGGCGTAAGCAAGCATGGTGCTTCTGGACATGAATCTAGCGAGGTTGACAGGCAGATCTATGCAGGACCCTGAAAGACATGTTCAAGACTAGGCTGCATCCTTTGGGAATGGGAAGCTATTGAAGGTGTTTGGAACATGTACTGGAGATAGAAGCACACAGGTACATGTTTCAGAAGCCTAAATCTGATATATGGAAGATAGTGCAGAGGGGAGATGTCTCCTTGAAGGCAGGGAGACCAGTGAGATGTCCATCACCAAATCCAGCAGAAAATGTGGGGCCCAAAGCAAAGCACTAGCACTGCTGATAGGGAGCAGGGAAAGACAGAAGTGAGGCTTAAAAGAGAGAATCAACAAGATGAAGCTTTAAGGCAGCAATGTCCACAATAGCCAAACTATGGAAAGAGCCTAGATGTCCATCAACAGATGAATGGATAAAGAAGATGTGGTGTATATATATGTATATATATACACATATATGCAATGGAATATTATGCTGCCATCAAAAAATGAAACCTTGCCATTTGCAACGACATGGATGGAACTAGAGGGTATTATGCTAAACAAAATAAGTCAATCAGAGAAAGACAATTATCATATGATCTCACTGATATGTGGAATTTGAGAAACAAGACAGAGGATCATAGGGGAAGGGAGGGAAAAATGAAGCAAGATGAAACCAGACAGGGAGACAAACCATAAAAGACTCTTAATCTCAGGAAACAAACTGAGGGTTGCTGGAACAGAGGGGTGTTGGAGGGAAGGGGTGGCTGGGTGATGGACATTGGGGAGGGTATGTGCTATTGTGAGCGCTGTGAATTGTGTAAGACTGATGAATCACAGACCTGTACCCCTGAAACAAGTAATATATTATATGTTAATTTAAAAAAAAGATGAAGCTTTAAGGGATAAAGGCCTAGAACCTGTTTAATGGCCTAGAACCTGAGAAGTAGGAAGGATGGTGATGGGACTAATCATGGGAGTTGGGGGGGTTGGAGAAGAAGCTGGAAATCAGAGCAAAAAAGCAGCCAGTTCCATTCCTCACAAGTTTGAAAGAAAGAAGCCTAAAATATTTACTCATTTTGAAATTGTAGTACATATTTCTGCAGAGCCAGAAGTTTAATATAACCACAAATTAGGAGTTCTTGGGTATGGAGAAAGGGAGCATTAAAAACAAAAAATAGCAATAGATGGAAAACAATCTCCAGGAAATCACCACAGAAGGAGACTCTCGTATCACAAAGAACATTCCAGGTGACGCTGCAAGCCCCAGGTCATCTGCCCAAGAAGGGGGCCTCTACAAAAGCAAGTTCAACATCCATCAAGAAGTCATGACCTAGGGGCGCCTGGGTGGCTCAGTCGTTAAGCGTCTGCCTTTGGCTCAGGTCATGATCCCAGGGTCCTGGGATCGAGTCCTGCATCGGGCTCCCTGCTCAGCGGGAAGCCTGCTTTCCCCTCTCCCATTCCCCCTGCTTGTGTTCCGTCTCTCGCTGTGTCTCTCTCTGTCAAATAAATAAAATCTTTAAAAAAAAAAAAAAAAGTCATGACCTACTTGCTATCCTGGTCCATGGACAGTCCAGACCCCTGCTCCACTAGTTTGGTTAGGTTCACTATTTCCTCTTTCAGGGCAAGGATCGTCTCCTTTGCCTTCTGCTCTTTGTCATAGGCTGAGTCCACCATCTTCCAGGCCTTTTCGATTTCCTATATGGGCCACGGAACATCAGTGAGAAAAACCAAACTAGGATCCAGATGCAAGATAAACTGAGCAAATAGAATAATAAAACAACTCCAATATAGTAGTCATTTATGGGGAAAGAAGGTTACATATTATACATTATGCATTCCGTTTATATTGACTTACTGAATTGCTCAACATGAGCTGGTGGATCCTGAACAGCAGCTTTAGGGAGTTCCTGGCTCACATCCTGCAAGGGCTGCTGTAACTAGGGGGATATTTCTGATGTTGAGATAGGTTTACAAAATTAAAATTAAATTTAAATTTAAATTTAAATTAAAAAGGAAAGTTTATGTGCTTTCCAAGCCAGATATTTTTGGAGGGAAAAAAAAAAAAAAGATCAGGAGTGGCCTTGGATCCAAGCCCTGAATGTGAAGGTCCTCATAGATTCCAAATTAAAAATAAAAATCTGTTTTATCCTCAGGTCCCAAGTAAGTGGTCCTGGATGGCGATGTTGGCTTTAGAACAATTCAGAGCAAGGTGGTCTTCCCTGTCATGTAATTGCACACAACAGCCTTGGTCATTCCCATTCCAGAAACCCACGCCCAGGCCTTTGGGGAGGGGGAAAACAAAGTCCCTCGCTGGGAGTGGAAACAACTCAAGCATTTTGGGCTTTCTTGCTGTTATGAAATGCAATCTGGAATATTAACATAACTACTTAGAAGGGAATTACAGCGTTCAGATAAGCGAACAAAGCATAGTAAGTGTTGCAACAGCCTTGACTTTTCTTGCAAAATTTTGTGCAGTGGAATGTGAGTCCTTTCTATAGGTAAGAACCTATAAACTCAAGGTGACAATACTCCACTTTCCTGTTGACAAGGTGTAAAATGAGTGGAAGAGAGGATTTCCATAAATTCATGCCCACTCTTACATTAGAGAGAGAGAGGGGAGTCTTGGGTAACTTCACATAATTTAGTGATTCAAAACAATTATGGGGTATTTTTTTTTTTGTAGCAACCATATGTACTATTTTCAGCAAAACACATGAAGGATATTTAAGTGAAAACGTGATTATATGAAGCTTTGTCCCAATCAATCACCAATTATATTTTAATCTGTTCGCGACTTCCATTTCCAGTTTTTTAATTTACAATAAAAATGGTTTCTTTCGCATCATAAGAAGAATTAAAGCCTTCTTTTATTGGTTTTTCGGCAAAAAGAAGAAAATGACGACGGAGAGAAAATGGCACTTTAAAAAAGGTCATTTCTAAGAAAACAGATGTCATACCTTGCACTGGTCTTGGAAATTCATTTAAATTGGGTGATGTTTTATTGTATGATATGAAGGGACTTATCTAAAAATGTTCATGAGTTATTTCTCATCACTAGGGTTTTAATTATAAATTAAAATCTCTTAACCTTTTATCATCCTGAGGTCAACAAGTAACATTTACATTTTACCCTCAAAATAATGCAACACACTTGAGAGTGAAAAAATAAAGGGTAAAACGGAGCCATACTTTCTCAATATCCCCCAGACTGAATCCCTGGTCTCCCATTATGAGGAACTGGGAGGATTAAGGAGGAAGGAAGATCATGAAAATTACTATCCAGGAATTCTCAAGGTAATTGCCCCCAAAGCAGTGGGAAGAGCAAAAACATGAAAACATCCTTTTAAAAAAATCCTTAACAAGTTATCATCATGAGATATCTAATTACTCATCTTGTATCAAACAAGACATACTGAGGTCCCTAATATTACACTTACTTACCTCTAATTCTTTTTGCTAACCCAGTATTTCTTAGAAACCCAAGCCAGTAAGGTTCTACATTATTTTCTGCATAGTGAAATTCACCCAGGTTAATTATTTCCTTTGAAAATGAACATTATTCCCTAGGCTTAATGAATATATAAATCATGTAAATTTTTACTTAATAACTCATTTACTACCAGCCTAGAGCTGCCAATATAAGGCAAGAAAGACGTTTTAAATATAGGATGCGTTTATGGCCCCTCTGCCTCGGTTTGTTTCTACAAGATCACCGACCTTCTTCAGGGATGCAATGGTGGTCTGATCATCCTGGGAGAGCTTCAGGGCAGTGGCGACCTTCGCGGAATTAACCACAATCTCTGCATTTAGCTCTCTGCATTTGGCCATCAGACGCTTTTCATTGTCGTAAGACTTTTTCATGACAGCATGAAGCTTCTCATATTCTATTCTAAATTTCTCCAGACTTTTGTCCCCTGAAAGTTCATTGAGAACCTCCTGAAAATCCCTTTCCATTTCTTCAAATGCAGTTTCTTCCAGCGCTAGTTTGTCACTCTTTTCCTGTACAAAAGATCAGGAAGGGGAATGAGTATTGCAACGTGTATACCATTCCTATTCAGGGATTGCTGTTATTAGCTATAAAGACCTTCACCAACCCAAAATAAAAGGCCACTGACAAGACTATATGATGGAAAGACATCTTGTTCATCCCCCTGATGCACGTATATATGTATACATGTGTCTTAGGGTAATAATATTTATAATATAATGATAATATATTATATCTATATAATAATAATATTTCCTACCACATGGTGTCAAAGAGCAGATTAAATAGGATCATTCATGTTAAACACTTGGCCACATGCCTGGCAAACAGGAGGCACCCAATAAATTTTTATAGCTCTTATGATTATGCCAAGCCCTGATTTGTCTTCACTTCATTCTGCTTCTTACTGCCCCAGGGAATGCAGAGATAAGCCATGGCATCTCATGGTCAGTTATAAGGAGATTTTGGTGTCGATACGATGAAATCACACATACTCACAATGAACCCCATCTGAAATATGGAATAGTCTCCTAAAAGATATTCCATCTTTTTTATCTCTTAAAATAAATAGGTGAGGTCACCTCCACAAGTATATTGAGATACCCCTTGTGCCATGCTCACAGGCCTTCTCCAGATTCGCTTCCTATGCTCAGCTAGACAACAAATTATTTTTTTTAAAAAGCCCAGACGTACAAACGTAATTCAAACATATGACTTAGAGGAGAACCCGGGACTCAGTTATACAAGAATTCTCATTTCTTTAGTGTTAAGGGTTGAATCTGTCCCCCAGAAAGGTATGTAGAAGTTCTACCCCCAGTACTGTAAATGTGACTTTGTTTGGAAGTAGAGTCATTATATACATATATCTAATCAGCTAACTTGAGGTCATACTGGAGTAGGATGGGCCCTAAGCCAATAGGACTGCTGTCCTTATAAAAAGAGGGAAAAGTGTAACTGTGTAGTGATGGATGTCTAAATTTATTGTGGTAATCATTTTGCAATACACACACACATATATGTGTGTATATATAACAAATCATTATGTTGTACACCTAAAACTAATATAATGTCACATGTCAATTATATCTCAATTTAAAAAAGAAAAGTAGAGGGGTGGGATTTGGACAGAGACACAAACACAGGAAAACACCATGCAAAGACAGACACAGGGATTAGACTGAGGCAGCTGTAAGCCAAGGAAAGCTAAGGATGGCTGGCTACGGTCAGAAGCCAGGAAGAGGCAAGGAAGGGTTTTTACTTAGAGTCTCAGAGGAAGCAGGGTCCTGTCAACACTCTGATTGCAGACTTTTAGTCTCCAGAATTGAGAGATGATAAATCTCAACCGTTTAAAGCCACCCGGTTTACAGTACTCTGTTATGGCTTGCCTAGCAGACTAATACACCTTCTTCTTGTTGGACACAGCACAATAATAACAAAGAATGGGGATGGTTAATATACTCATGTATTTATTCAGCAAATGTTTATTGAGCATTTGCTATGTGTAAGTTGGCATGAGGGAGCCTGCGGGAGGCAGTAAGGTAAGGAATAAACAGCCCTCCCACAGGGAATTTCGACATTAATAGCTGATGGGGTATGTTTTCCGATAATGGAAGTAAGGAATTTGATACCTGCCATAAAATGGATTCAAAATTCTACAAGGGACCTATAGGAAAATGGAAACTACTCCCAGCAGCAAGAATGAAAGCAAATTTCCTAAAGGAGGTGGTATTTGAGCAGGCCCAGAAGGTAAAGCGAAACGTTCACGGGTGAATATGGAGAGAAAAGGTATGCCTTGCCCACTGCAAAGCTTGAACAAATGCTCAGGGCCCAGCAGTATCCAGGATTTGAGATTGGTTAAGAAGCTCACGTTGGCTAAAGTGTAAGGAGTATGACAGGGAGAAGAAAAGAGAAGACTAGATAGGGAGTTAAGGACAGACTAGAGGCCTTGAGTGGAATTCTAAGGGCTATGGAGTGGATTAATCTGTAGGCCACACAGACCCACTCAAGACTTTGGAACTGATAAGGTTTGAAAGGTCTTATTTATGTATGCAACATTATGCTTTGGTACTCTACCCTAAAAAGAGCTTCAACATCAACACTCTATCGCTAATCAAAGAAATCAACTGAGATGATTTCTCTAATCCCCTAAAGAAAGTAAAATTTAAATACACCCTGCAGATTTAGGGTAAGCAATCTTGTTTACCTTCCCCCTTGACGAGCCCATCTTGCCCAATATAGAGAAAGTCTACATATTTTGGGTTTTCAAAAACACTTGTACTGCTCATTTCCAAAGATGACACCCAAGCAAAAGAATCCACATCTTAAAATAGATGTGGAGTAACAAGCATATCTATAACATTTTGCATAACAACATTACTGCTAATGTTAAACTAAACAGAGGTTTTCTTCCCGACTAAAAGCAGCTTATTGCCAACATCACAATACAGCAATTCCACAAAGGAGAGAAAAATCTTATTGAGAAAATATGGTGCTTCTACTGCCCTGTTTTTTCCCCTTGTTGATGCTAAACATCAGCACACACCAAAATGTATCATGGCAATGTTCTCAATTCCATCCCTGTAAATGGTATTAATGTCAACACTTGATCACTAGCCTAATGATTTGTTTGCTGACTTGGTTTTCCCTGTACACCTGGCACTTAGCACAGGAATGGAAAAATATCAAAGAAAGCAAAGTTTTTAAAAAGTACTTTTATGAACAGATTTGTTCACATTGTCATTTTAAAAATATATCGCTACTAAAAGCACAGCAAAAATAGTCTCTGAGCTGTGACCAGTAACCAGTTGGTGTCTACACTCTCAGAGCATATAATGGTATCTGTTTTGGAAGCACCATTTTAACATGAACCAGTCAGAAAAGAACTGTGATGTTCCTTCATTCAATACCTATCTTTTGAGGGTTTACTATCTGCCAGGCACTGTTCTAGGTGCTGGGAATACCAATCAGTGGGAAAATGACAAGGAAAAAGGACAGGAGAGCTGCAGTGATAAATGAGGCCAGAGTGTTAATGGAGACTTGTGAAAGCAGAGGTAAGGAAAACCTGGCTGACATCGAGCAAGAAGAAAAATAGAAAAAGGGAAGAAATGAGAGGAGATCATGAAGGGGAAGGGAGACCAGGAAATAATTTGTTCATGGTGTTGGTATCTGGGGCTTATGTGTGGAGAACAAAGAAGAATGAAATGAACCAAGATGACCAGCGAGGGAGAAAAGGAGGGAACGCTCAAAAGCAAATAAAGGAGAGCTAGAAGGCACAGGAGGAGGAGATGGGGAGGAAAGGGACATGAACAAGTGAGGGTCACGGGGTGAGTATGGTGGACACCACTGTGGATGTGAGAGGGACATGAGAGTGAGGAGCCCAGGAGTGAAGAAGAGGAGGGTGGGAAGGGGATTGTATGCTAAGGGAAGGAGGGAGCTTTGCCCACAGGAAGATGGAGCTTATAAGGGGAGACTAGATGTGGAGGAGGAGATGGAATGATGAGGGATGTGAATGGTGTAGAGGAGGTAGAAGGAAGTAGAATAGAATGGGAGGGTGATGGTGATGAGAGAAGCGGGGATGAGGCTGGTTTCGTGGGCACACAAACTGCGAGGATGCACAGGGCCCCTTGCTCAATAAGCCCCACCCTTGGTTTAAGAATTTGAAATTCTTAATAATTTGTTAACAAGGGGCTCTGCATTTTCATTTTTCATTGAGCCCCACCAATTATGTAACGGACCCTGGTTGGGACTGACCCTGTGACAGGTGACAGGTGACAGGTGAGATGAGGGAGGACTCTGATGGGGTGATGGAGGAATAGGGTAGGACCATGGTGAATGGGGACTGTGACCAGCAAGTGATGACAGGGACTCGAGATAGTCCAAATTACAAATGAGGGTGCTAATGGACAAAGGGTCAATAAAGGGCTGCAGAAATGACCCCTCATCAGTGAGGCTAAAGATGGGGTATACTGCAAAGTGCAGGGAGTGAATGACGCTACAAGATTTTAACACCGTGATCAATGACGACACAGGGCATTGGTGATGGGTGAAGAGCTTAATGGAGACGTGTCACAGCAGGTGATCAGATGATAGGGAATAGTGGTGTGACAGGTGGACAAGGATCAGTGAATAAGGGTGACAGTGGGTATCTATGAAGCCTTCCTCCAGGTCCCCCCAGTCAGTGTGTATCTCTCCTGTGGTATCACCTTATGGCTCAAAATCTAGGTGTGGGTGCCTGTCATGTGCGAGTCTGGAAACTCATGAATTTCATACTATGTTTAACACAGCGCCAATTTTAAGACTGGGGGTGGGGTGTGTCTACCCAATTGAAGGAGAGACAGGAGGTAAAGGGGCCAGAACCATCGAGACAGAGGGATGGGGTGAGGCTGTGGGTGGGGATAAGATGTTGATGGCGGGAATGTCGGAATCAGTGGACGCAACAGGGGATAAATCGACAGTAGGAGAGGGACGATGGGGAGGAGTTGAGCGAGAAACGACAGAGAGAGGGGCACTGACTCCTGACCTCGGCCATCCTGACGCTCTCTGGGGGTGGCCTCAGAGGCTGCTGTGGTGATCGCGGAAACTGGGCCCGAGTCTGAGGAAGGGGCTGTGCACTTCCCCCAGCGTCTAAAAGGGCGCCACGTTATTTGTATCCAGCGCAGGGGGCGGGCAGAAACCCAGTGCTCGGCGCGTCCTCCCGTCGCCTGGCAACCGCCGCGCCCTCTGGGGAAACTGGAGGAAGACCGAAAGGGGCGGGGCCTCTGGGGCAGGCGCTTGGGCAGTGTCCCTTAGAGGCATATGCAAATATCCCTGAATGGGGCGGGACCAAGGAGGCGAAGGGGCGGGGCCTCTGAGAGGCTAGGCGGAATCCCAAGGTGTGCAAGAGGTGCGGGGGAGAGAGAGCGGTGGGGCAGAGGGCGGTGGGGCAGAGCCCGGAGGCCAGTAGGGCCTGCGGAGGACTAACGCTTAGATGGAAATGTGGATCAAAGGCTTTCTAGAAGGACTGGCAGCCACCCTTTGCTCTCCGTGACAAAGATTCGGTGGCGGGAACAAGAAATAATCTCAGTTCGAGTCAATTCAACTCTAATGAAGCAACTACTGTGTGCAAGACACCGAGGGGAAAGTAAGGTAGAGAAAACACAGACCCTGCTGTCAAAGGGTTTAGTCACCAGTGGTGAGAAAAATAGGGTGCAGCGCTCGAAGCACCCTAGGAAAACGGATGTGGAGCCACATTGTGAAAAGCTACCTTTCAACTGGGGCTCCTTTCTCAAGACTGCTTCTTCTCCCTCTCCTCCACCATCCCCTTTAGCCTTCAGATACAGAGAGTTGGAGTAAACAACTTGGTTCATGAAATGTGCAAGACCCCTCTCTTGTTTTATCTTTTCCCTTTATCCGCATCCTTACTCCCATCTCTCCTCAGTCCCATAGCTATTCAGGCTACTGTGCATGGATATGTATTTTTGAAAAGTGTACACACTTTTATTAGTGTATTTTTTAAATGTTTGATAATGATATTGGACTTAGGGATCATCTTACTTTCTACTTTTTTTCACTCCATATTCTTTTTCTGGATCTGTCCTTTTGCAGTTGGTATTGCAATCCTAGTTCATCACTTCTGATTGCTGCATAGCATTCCATATTGGACATCCACACATGTGACTTCCATTCCCCAAATGGACACCAAGGCTACCTCCACCTCTCCCAATACCACAAACAATGCAGCGATAATAATCATCCTTGCGCCTGGTCTTTTATGGACCTATGTGCAACTCCTAGGAAATATATGCCTACGAATGAGACTGATAAAGTTACAGGGGATGCACAGGGCCATTGCACTGGGTTATGCAATTTGTCCTGTACAAAGACATCCAGCCATGGGGCGTGTGAGGTTAGAACACAGTCCCTACTCTTTCCTATGTCATGTGCCCTGCTGAAGGAAGATGTGCCCTTTTCTTCCCATAAAAGCTCTATCAAGTAATGAACTTAGAAGGTTACAACCATCCAGAGGGTATGCCTTTTTCAAATTCATCTGCCTAGTGGTGGAAACTATTCTCCAATGGCACAAAGGTGCCTAGTCGCCCAGAAAAAGCCCTGGGCTTGCATCACCAAGTACTGCTGGATTGCACCCCAGAATTACTGCCCTATACTATGCCCCACTGCATAGCCTGGTCCCCCACTCCCAGCCTTGCCAGCACATGGTAGTTTGTTTATTCATAAACACTCACATAGTGTTTACTAAGTGTCAGATACTGTTCTAAGTGCCTTGCAAAACCTGACTCATCTATTTAGCCAATTTGATAAATTCCGTCAATTATCATGAAAGTAGTGTCAACATATTTTTGTTTTACTTTGCATCTCTCTCACTACTAGTGAAATTGAACATTTCTTCATACATCTATAAGCCACTTGGGGTCCCCTTCTGTGAAGTGTCTATTTATAGCCTTTGTCTATTTTTCAATTGCTCTTTTTCTTTTTGATTTGATTTGCAAGAGGTCTTTGTAAAGTCTGGACATTAATCTGCTTTCAAAGACTGGAAACTTTGCTTGTAATGTCCTTTGTAAGACAATAATCCTTCATTTTGTAGTCCTTCATCTTTTTTTTTTTTAATGCTCTTTCAGATGATTTAGCAAGTCTTTCTCAACTCTCCCCAAGGTCATAAAGGTATTCTCTGTCATTTTCTTCCATTAGTTTCATAGTTTTATTTTTTAGCATTCAGTTCTTGAGTCCATTTGGAGTTCACTTTTGCATACGGTGTGAGATAAGGATCCAATTTTTTTTTCTCAATGGAACATGCCCATTTTCAGCATCTCGGTTCCCACATATAGATGGGTCTGTTCTGATCTCTCTGGTTTGCTCCTGTGCCAGTACCACAAGGTTTTATTATGATGGTTTTGCAGCCAGTCATCATGATTGAAGGCATGATTGAAGTCCCCCACCCCTACTTCTGTCAAGACTGCATTGGCTTCTCGTGAACCTCCATCACCCCCTATAATTTTCAGGATGCTTTTCAAGTTCCTCATGAGAAATCTTAATTGGAACATTACTGAATTTATGAAAGAACTTGGGGAAAATTCACATTTGCACAATTATATCTCATTCATGAACAGAGACTGTATATCTGGTAGACAAACATGACATAATATGGCTGAGGCATAATGCGCGTGGAGGTGATGGGAGAGGTGGCAGATGAAGCTGGAGAAGCAGGCTGAACCAAACTGCAAGCAAAGC